ATACATATTTTACTAATTATAATTAGTAAAAAATTTAAGCGTTGCATTATTTTTGATTGCCACTGTATATATATAATTATTATTATATATTTATTATAATTATTTTTATATTTTTTATTATTAATTTTTTATATTTACTAATTTTAATTATATTGTTTATTATTATCTGATAATATAATTAGTTAATAATTACTTTTTATATAATATAAATAAATTATATAATATAATTTGAATTAAATTCTATATCATATAAACTATTTAGTCTTAATAAACTCTTCTATTTAATATAAATAAAGATAACTAAATCTAATTTATACATAAAATATAATATATTTTATTGATTATTATTATTAATTATTATATCTAATATATTAATTATTCATATCAATATAATAATAATATTATAAAATTTAGATTATAATTTATCCATTCTTGAAAAGAAGAGAATTATATAACTAATTATATTTAATTAGATTATTTTTAAAATTATAAGTTATTTTTATAGAGTTATATAATATAATTAAATCAAAATCTCTTTATAGCTAGACTATATTATAAAGAAACCAATATAATAATAACTTTCTTTTGGTAAAAATAATAATAACATGAAATTTAATGATATAACAAAAAATAATTCTTTTTTATAATATAAATAATCTAAAGCTATTAAGTACTTTGAATTATAAAGATTCTATATATAAATATATAATTATAAAAATAAATATATTACTAGATAATTTTAAATAAAATCTATAAAGTAATATATTTTTTTTATAAAATATAATATGAATAATCTAAAATTATTAAGTACTTTAAACTATAAAGACTTATATATAAATATATAATCATAAAAATAAATATATTACTAAATAATCTTGAATAAAATCTATAAAGTAATATATTTTTTATAAAATATATTAGTAATTTATTAAGTAATTAGTATTTTTTGATCACTTCTAATAAATTTAATATTAAATTAGAGAAATTTTCAGTATTAAAGATTTTTTTTAATTAATTAGATTTTATATATTATTATATGAATAAATAAATAATTTTTATAATATAATAAATAAAAGAAAATATATTATTAATTTATTTAAAAATTATTAATAATCTTTTATTTAAAAAAAAAGAAAAAATAAAGAAATATTTGCTTATTAAACTTCTCAAATTCTTTCTTGCTAAACTAATCAAATAGTCAAACTCTTTCAAAATATTATCAAAAACTTTATAATATAATCTATATTTTTTTATAATAAAAATAATAACTTTATCTAAAAGATCTTATTTATTTATAAATGCTCATATATCAAGTAAATTAATATATATAATAATAAATTTTAATCAGGATAACTGATTTTAATACTTATAAAATAATTTTTTTGAGACTTTTAAAAGAGTAATCACAATATAAATATAAATATTATTTTATTTTTCCTCAAAATAATTTAATAAAATTGAGCTCAAAATAAAAATTCAGATAGAAAATATATATATATAATTAATTATTTTAATAATTTTCTACAGATATTTTTTGAAGAGTTTTTATAATTCTAATTAGATTGATATAGTTACTTCTAAGCTATTATTTTATTAATTTTTCTTTTTATCTTGATCTCAAGATTGGATAGAATCTCATTTTTAATAAACTTAATAAATTCATAAATAATTATTATTAAAGATAGCTCCTCAACTAATTGCGGCTTGCAGCAGCCAATCAGAGAATTGCGACAGAGTTATGGCTAGTTGTGGCTTCTATCTCTAATTATTATAAACTTATTTGCATATAAATATTTAATAATATATATCTTAAAAATTTTATTAGATAGAGATGATATAGTTTTTGAGTGATAGTTATAATATAATATAAGATTTTTATTTTTACTTGACTATTGATTAATTTATAAATAAATAACTCATTTATATTATAAATGCTATTTAATATTATAAGTGAGAAAATTACTTGCTAATAGCTTAAAAAATTCTTGATCTTGAATAAGATGAAGAAATTAACTTATTATATCAAGTCACATTTTAGACTTTTTCTTTAGCAGAATGTTAAGAGATACCAAAGTAAATATATTTTTATTATTACTGGAATTAACTATCTTCTCAAATAGAAACTTATTATTATTAAAATTAGATATCTTAATTGAAAATAAGTTGGTAATTTTGTTAGAACCAAAAGCTATCTTTCTTAAAATCACTCATTTATTATGCAATATTAATTTGGCAAAATCTTTGTAAATTGGCTTCTATCTCTTCATTATTCATATATCTGATTATCTTGCATTCTTGATGAATTTCTCTAGTATATTTTGTTTTGATTCTCTCAACTCTTCTATAAATCGACCATTATTTAAGACTTATTTTCACTTTCTATTTAAATAGCATCATTACTTGATTTGTTGGCATCTGATACTTTCTTCTCTCATTTCAACTTGGTATCATTCCAGCACTTTTTGGTGATCATTAAGCAGTATCTAGCATGTTTACTTCATTTAGGCATGAGGAAGAGAAAATGCATCTTAAGAGAGGTTAATAATATAATGAAAAAGGCTTATATCATAGAAAAGAAAAGTGAAAAGAGAGGTTATTTATTATTTTATAATTATGTAATGAAGAAAACATTATCTCCTGAACAAGCCTTTTTATATAGCAAAAGAGAAAAACAACTTTACCTTACAAGTCTTTAATATGAGTCTCCTAAATAATATTTAAAAGTTCTTCTAAATAATTTTTTAAGAGCTCAAAATTGCTTCTTATATATTTTCTGACGCGACGCGTTTATCATGTGATCGTATCGTAATACATGCATTACAAATTTCAGCGATGGCGCAGCACTTGATGTCTTTAGGCCGTTCGCACCATAATTACTTTTGTTCTTTTTATTGTAACTTGTCTTGATTAAAGACTCAAGACGCCTATATATACATTTATGTCGGCCACATGTTTAGCTATACTAAAAATAGTTTATTTACATAGCGATCGAAATAGTGAAAAACATTGTACCAAACAGCGTACTAAAGTGTGCACAACTAATTATTAAACATTGTACTAAACAATGTGGGGATCGTTAAAAAAAAATAATTCAAGTTGAATAAGTAATGATGGATATTGTAAGTGTTACTATTGCTTTCATGGTTATTGTTATTTTTTTTATTATGCACACATCGATCACCTGCAGGTCATGTCGGAAAGATCACAGGTTTTCAATCGCATTTAAGGTGAATGTAAATTCAGTCGGGAATTAGCATTATAAACAATTTTATTGCTAAAAAAGTCAAACATGTAATAAGATGATGATAATTGAAAGGAATACATGTAATAACGAATATTGCATGTATATTTACTGATGCATGTACTTGGAATTCATTTTTTCATGAATTCTTTGCATTTATCTATCCAATGGTAAACCTCATTTAGGCAATTCTCCGCCATTTGCGATTCGTTTTTCAACCACTCGATGTCTACTTCTTGATGTTTTGTCGTATTCTCTATTGATAATGAATCTAGCGCCATCTTAATATTTTCATAGTGGATATACCTAAAAAAAAAATCAAATTAGTTTGTGCTTAAAAGAACGAAATATGCAAGTAGAAAAGTACTTTAAGTCATCCAGTAATTCCAAACATTCATCAATTTTTTGGTCATCCGAATTGCGATTATTGATTATCTTTTGCAATTTGATCTTTGTAGCGTCCATTTTTCCTTGCACTTTTGTCAAATCCACAAGGTTCTTTACGATTATACCTCTCAATATAATATGATACATTTTTTTCTTTCTCTCAACAATAAACTTCCAGTAAAGCTCATTTTTGCAAAAAACTACCATTTCGTTATAAATCTTTTCTAAGATTGGATCATCTTTATGTGGTCGAGACTTTTGTTGTTGGCGGGCACTACGGAACCATGCTTGAATTTTGGTGGCCGCTTCTTTCTCCTGAGGGGAATAGGCCAAGCCTTGAGCTACTTTGAATAACTCAAACTTTTCATTATTCTGACTGTCCTCCTTAACAGACGCGATTGGCGTTAATGCAGATTTTTGCTGCTTAGATGAAGGATTACGTTCTTCAATAACTATTGGTGCTGTGATTTGTCGAAGAGCAGAATGAAATCGTTCAACAGAGGTATAATTAAGCTTTATAATACCATGTTCTTCCAAGTTAGAGAATTTTGACGAGTCTCCTAAATGATAATGGACGATTACCAAGGAGTCGCAATCAGTCTCTTTAAGGTCATCATGAAGAACGAACGCAAGACGACTTATAGAACTTCCGTTCAAGTATTTTGTGACCTTGGGAGAAAATGATTTTTTGGACCAGCATTTAAAAAGATCAAATACTCTAGTTGCAAAATCTGATTCGTTCAAGCATATAAGAACTAAGAGTCGTATTAATCTAAGGATAATATTCAAATAAACTTGTCCAGTAGAGATCAACAAATCGAAGAGCTGCTGAACTTGATCAATAGAGTTCGTGATTTCATCGAAATAATCAACTTTGTTATAACCATGTTGACGATGAATAAGCGGCACCGCAGTAAATGCGTCAAAATAATTAACCAAATAAGCTCGGGGGAGGCAAAAATCACAAGATTCGGGACCAACCGCAAAAACCAAAGATGTTTTAAACTCTATAAATGATATAAGATCACCAAACGCATCGGATGTTTTTATACTAATTAGTTCAATATTGTTGATAACGTATTGAATCACCATTTTTATGTGCATGATCGCATCTAACACTTGGTTATTATAGAGATTTGAGAAGAATAATGAAAGTTGCTTTCCAATAAGTATAGACTGGTATCTAGAGTAGTAATTAATGCCAGTGGATATTTCCATACTAGGTTTATGCATTCTTTTTTTTGACATTTCAAAATCGAATTCACAAATTCCCCATTTGTCTTGCAATTGGTGAAGAACAAGCACGCATTTTAACATGACCGAAAAGTCATTGGGATCATAAAACACACGAGGCAGCCAAATGTTGCGAGCGATATATAATAAACCATCACGTGTGTCCTTAGGGAGTTCAGCAAGAACCGCATAGGTGACTTCTGAGCAGCTTGTTTGAGGAGATTGATAACGGATATGAATTTTCACAAGTATTTCAGCCCACCATATTTGTGACTCACGAACTTTCTCAATTTGTCCCTTTTTTAAAAGACGGTTATGATACAAGATATTCAATTGCTGCATCACAGTGTACTGAAGGCAAGCGAGTGAGAAACGTTTGTGCAGAATTGAAGGTGTTGGAATAACATGATGATTTCGACAACCACTCTTAGAACAGGATGAAAATTCAAAGCATATTTCAGAACTTATATCTCGAATTTCTTTCCCCTTCTGACCAGCCTCCAAGATGCTTTTATAAATATACGTAGCAAGAGATTGTGAGATAGCAGAGTTCAAAGCCTTCTCGTCATATATATGCCAACCATCCGAGTTGCTTACATTTTTTTGATTATTCAGATTCAGAATATGGAGAATGTGATTGTCAGAAGAGATTTTTCGTTTATATGGATGATTAGCAACTTCGTTTACAAGAAAAATATAGTGAAAATCTTTGTAAATTTTTGTAATATTTTCACTTTCTCGAGGTGCTATAAAGAGAAAGGCCAGTTCACACAATCTCAATAGACATTGTAATCGTTCCCGCCAGTTCTCGGTCTGAATATCAAATTTTAAGATATACAACCGTATGATTATCGCACGAAACTCCATGACGCGGTCTTCACGTCTTCTAAATAATTGCAGGAACTTGCGGATTCCATCGAGATCCGAATCCCAATAAGTTTTATATAACTGGAACTCTTCTTTTAGGCTTCTATATTCTCCAGATTCCTTCCACGCTTGCGATTTGACTTTTGAAATAATATTGATTGCCTTGGAAAGATGTTCTTTTAATTGAAAGAAATTTGGACTCACTAATTTGATTCTACATAGATCCAAGCAACATCGTAAATACTCTTTGATCTCATCATCCTTGGTAAGCAGGCAAGGAAACATGCCAACCATACGAGGGAACATATCAGTCGCCTCATTGAATCTCCCACGCGAGCGCAAGTCTTTAGCGGCGACACAAAAGAGACCATTCTTCTCGCAAAATTCCAAAAACTCTTCATGAGCATGCTTTTGAAGGAAATCTATTTTTTCCTCCAGAGTTGGAAAAATGGAAAGAGCTTTCGCACTCATATTTCTGTCCTTCACCTTACGGTAATGGATGTTAACACGATGTATGATATCTTTGAACTCGTTCTTGTCAATATTCACTCTGTTTTAATTCAAAGACTAGGTTATGTCGTTTCTGAATTTCAAAACTGTTCATAAAAAGGATAAATTACCTTAGCATTAAATTAACGAACTTTTCATAACATTGACCATCGTTATAAGTGTAAACAGCTTCAGTATACTTGTTAATCTTTTCGAAATACTTTCCCGCTTTTTCAAAGTTAGGGATCTTAAGAAAACAATACGCAGCTTCATCAAACATATTCCATTCAACGTAAACTTCAGCAGCTTTCTCATACATGTTTATATTCTATATGTTTTGTAGATTTGCAAGAATTAATTTAAATTATTTATGCACTTATAGTAGTCAATTAGAGGAATACCTCATAGCATGAAGCGGCCTGTATTGGTCGAGAACATTCTTGAAATGCTTCAGCTGCACTACAAAATTTCGAAATTATGGTATCTTCATCGGAATCATATATGGAAGACCTTGCTATTTGTTGAAAATAATAAGCCTTAGCTAATTTAAAATTTTTATGATTTCCACTCTTCTTGAAGCATGTCATAGCCTGAAAATAATTTCATATCTTTTAGTTTCCCAAGTTATTAAATAAACGCTAAATATTGAAATTAATCAACCTCTTTATAAAACCGTTCTTCAAAAAATTTCTTTCCCGTTTGATTCCATTCTGCTGAATTGCTCTTCTTAAGCAACATAGGAAACTCATCAAGCAATGTAGAAAAAGTATCCTTACTTTCGACCACTTTTACTAGATCACGATTTCTCCAGTAGTTGCAGATTGGTTCGATGTATTCACTTAACTCATCAAATATCCAAATGTGTTGCCGTGCCCTAGTAATTGCGACGTAGAGATTCTTAAGTTCAGAGGAAAGAATATAATACTTTTCATAAGAAAATTCTTGAACTTCTTTGGACTTGGAAAGAATTAATTGCCACTATGATATATACATACAACAAAAACAACTTTCAATAGAAAATACAAGAGATAAAAGACTTTATGTAAACAAACAGATGTGGGAAATTTACCTTTTGACGTCCAGGCGAATTAGTAAAGAAATTATATAATAAAACGTCATTAAATTCCATCCCTTTCGCCTCATACACTGTCAACACTATTCCAGCATCTCCAATGAGGTCTTCAACACGTGATTTAGATTTTTCATCACGTACGATTATAACTTGTTCAGCTCCGAATTCGATATTATTATTCTCAGTATTCTCACCAACAGAAAAAATATTGAAATAAGTTTCAGCTTTAAATTCCTTAACTATTACAGGCCGTGGACCGCCAACATCGCTATGCTCACGTGATAGACGGTCGATTGATTCAGGAAAAAAATCAGAGATAAGATCAATTACTGAAGAAGCAAGCCGAAGAATCCCGCTGTGGGCACGGTAATTAACATTTAACTCAAATTTTTTTGGTTTTATAGTACCACGAGGGATATTATAAGCCTGAGCTCGAGTGCGCTCCCATTCATACATCAAGGCGCTTAGATCTGCATTTTTATTCGTTGAGCATTAATAACATTACTTGTGAATTCTAAATATAAATTAACACATACTCTGGAATCGGAAAGAAGAGCCCTTGGCTATACATTGCGCTATATCTCCGGCGAAAAAGATACTGTCAATGCGATTAAAAATCTTCAATATAAGACCCAAATCCACGATCTGGTTGTCTTGACATTCATCCATATATATTTCATGAATGTGTGAACTTTCAAGTTCATTTTCCGTTGTACGACGTAAAATATATAGTGTTCTGCCAGTAAATTTTAAGAATTCATGAACTCATGCACTATATCAAAAACTAATATATACACGGGTCTTACCGATCCATCGAGTCATAATCACCCGTATACTTCCTTTTCTTTAACTTTTCATATCGCAAAAACATGTCGTAAATTTTATCCCGGTTTTGGCAGAATGCGGGGTATTTTTTAGGGCTTACAGCCTTATATTCTTCCCGTGACAAATGCTTTCCTTCTGGATTCAATCCCTATAGAAATTTTAAGAAAAGTGTAATATATATATATATAAATATATAATAGAGTTTTTATATAAGGATGCATACCTTTATAATGGAAAATTCAGAATAGACCAGCTCGCAGTCCATTTTTTTATCGCCGAAAAGCCTCCAATACCTTTTCTCGAAAACATCATGGTTCACAAAGTGAGCCCATGTTGTGTTGAATAACGAAAATTTGCGACGGAGTTTCTCCTCTTTGTCATCAACAACAACATCATCATCCTCTCTTTTTGATTGTTGCATAAACATCTTCATGTACTTTCGAGCATCAATTTCGTATGTTCCCTCGAGCATTTCAGAGAATTTTTTATAGGTAATGAATAATGGAAAATGATCCTCAGTTAGTTGATAAAACGAGTGGATCTCACTTAGATCCTTATCTTCGTCTCCTTCTTCCTCCATTTCATCATTTTTCAGATTTGCATTGTGGCCTTCTTGCTCCTTTTTTCTAACAAACTCGTGGAACTGAGCTAATGACATTTTTGTCTCAACAAGTACCGCAGATTCTTTCAACTTGTGGAAATATTCCTTTACACGATGGCATAGATGGTGGCTCGCAGTGATGAATATTTGCCTCTTGCGAGAATTATTGATATAGGAGGCAAGTAGTCTAAACACAATGCATGTGGTTTTCCCTGTGCCTGTGAGAAAATGGAATTAAATAAATAGGTTGTTCACACGTTTGACAGTCAAAACAAGATACTAACCTGATCGACCAATTATGATAGCTGAAGTGGGATGGTTGATGATTTCATGCTCTAATTTCGAAACTTGAAAAGTAAAACCAGTGCCACCCATTACCAGTGATTTGAATAAATTCTACAAACAATATAGACCTTTAACTTAAAATTCTTTTAATCAATATAATATCGATGCGACCTTTACCTTTGACAACGGAATGAATTTATTTGTAACAAGCATTTTGTGAACTTCTAGAAACCTTTCGTCATCCATTCGAGAGTCATGAAATTCGTTCTCCGTAGACGTTGTTGTCATTTCCTCTCCAAATAGCTCTGGTAAAATTATATCATTTTTACCAGTCAGTCGAGTGGCACACCGACGACTTTGCTCAGCTTTGTAAACCTGATGAGCCAGCCTGAGAATTTTTAAAGTTTCATCGATTTGATCTTGACTGGAAGTGATAACCCAAATTTTCACGATTTGCGTAAGTTGATAGCTACGGACAGAAAATCCAGAGTCAACTTGCCAAAGGATTTTTATGCTGTCGTGATCGTGGAGTTCCGTTTCATAAACAGGGATTGCGAAAGATGGAACTTTATTGTTTAGTTTGTGTTTATCCCAAGCACCAGAAGATATTTTTCCGAGTTTTTTCATGATCGCTTTAACCGCCAGAGGTGATTTCAAACGCGACATAAATTTGAATGCGTCTTCACTTATCAGTATGTCCCATGGTCCAAGTCTGTCATCCTCGCTAAACTCAAATGGAAGGCGGAAACAGTGTTCCGGTGGTGTAATTGCTCTTTCTTCTTCCATAAACGAAGAGTACTTGTCAGATGGAAATAAGAATGCTTGTTCCCACACTACATGCACAATTGATAGTGTGATCAACATATATATGCGTTCATGTTCAGTATACGTAACGATAACAATGTAACACTAATTTCCGGTCTCGTAAATTTTTTGTTTTTGAATTATCTCATGCGCTTGCTTCTTTTGGCGATTCATTTATTAATAACGATAAATTATCCAACATTCTTACAAAATTTTGTAACTCACAAATGAGACGAAAAGTGAAGAGTTTTTACGGAAAAAAATCTAGTGCCTCTAACATTTAGTATTGCATTCTAAAAAAATTATTAATTTCACATACAAACAGTTTTTTTATCAGGAAGGATTGACCTAATAAAAATACTCTGCTTTACGAGAACTATCTGCATACCCAATTTTCAGCTAAATTGGTAGCAAGCTCATTAGTTATAGAACCCGAAGTACCAGATTATTGCTAGTAAAAATAATACATCCATTTCTTTACTAGCACTAATCTGATACCTTTCTAAGAAATTAAGTGATCTACACGAATATTTTTTAACTCCAAGTGTAGATTGACCTAATAAAGCATATATTACTGTATCCATTCTTTTTTATTCTGTGATACAAAAGTCAGAGAAGTTTTATATCAGTCTGAATTTATTTAGAAAATCATTTGCTTTGTTTTCTATTATAAACAGATTCATTTAAGTAATTGTTTTGTATTTCACAATAATTTTATCACAACTTCATTATATCAGTTAAATTTAATGACCACCTATCATTGCTTTATAAGTTGTCCCAAAACTTCCATTCGTAAGATACTCAAAATCTCAAATCACTCAAAGAAGATACATGCAAATATTTGATTTCATGACTTTTATTCTCTGTTTTAAAATATACAAATATACACCTCACTATATATATTAGATCACATCTTTGATTATGTACTACGTCTATACTGTACTGTACTGTATATAAGCATAACGTTTGTAATTGATCAAAGAAGAACTAATGATTATTTACGTTAGAAAAATTTCCATTTGTATTATCGATACAATCACTTCCCAACAAGATCAATATAAAAAAGTTGGAATTCACATGTCGAATGTGGTGATTACGTTTGATAGTTTCTAAAATATAAGTTGAAAGACATCACAAAATTCTTTTATCGTTGTATTATACAGTTATAGACTTCAAAATGCCAATGCATCTTATTATCGTATTGCTAGTATCATTCAAACCACTAATTAAGAAAACCATCTGTCACATCTGTAAGCCGTGTCTAAGAATTTTTAAAATTATAAAAAAAAAGAACGGCGATTCCTGATTAAAACTTCGGACTTTCTCAAGGAAAGAGATTAAGATAACGATAAAAAAATTACTATATTTGATTACGAAGGTATACAATATAGTCACGCTCCTCTAAATGCAGCATTATAATATACGCTTAGAAGAATCATGGATAAAGTTTATAAGTTTTATTGTAAATTAATTATAATGCATTTAGAGTGTGACTGTATTTATTGTAGCTGTTGTTATAGTAATGTTACTATTATACGAAAATACATGATTATGCTATCGTTATTTATCTTTGAAATTTTTGTTTTGTGGCTGTATCATATCAGATGATGATCGGATGGCAGTTCGTCATCATGTGAATTATTTATTACTAGTTTGTGGTGGTGTGATTTTTAAATCGGCATTATATAGAGACGTTCAGGTGAAGTGAACTTCACTGTGTATATTTTAAATTTAGCATCACTTAATTACATGTATTTTGAGAATACAATAGAGTACACAGCAACAGAATAAAAAGCTATTGCTATTTATTTGCATTGTTTTTATTTACGAAATTTTACTGCAAAATTTATGAGAAAATTATTATTGTAATTGTTAATATTAATATCATAGTATCCGCATTTGACAAGTTTATTATTTGTATATTTTTACGAAAAATTATTATTTTGAGCAATTCGTTCAAGTTAACTGTGTATATTTTAAAATTAGTATCACTTAATTGCATGTATTTTGAGAAGAAAATACAGCACAATAACGGAATAAAAAGTTGTTGTTATTTACTTGTATTGTTTTAATTTACGAAATTTTTATGCAAATTTTATGTAATTGTTGATATTAATATCAATAGCACTGACATCTTACAAGTCTATAAGCTTCTCTATTTTTATTCTTTGAAAAATGATTCGTTTCATTAAAGTGAACTTCTTTATGTACATGTATATAAATTTAGCACCATCTAATTACATGTATTTCCTAGATGCACAGCTACCACCTGTTCCCATGATGGAACTTAAATGAACATTCTTTTCAGTTTCGTCTATAAGGCCCGTTTATATATCATGTCTCTCCATAAGTACACATCATGTCAATAAATTTCATGTTAATATAATTATGTACACTTTGAGATCGGTCCCAGTGGTGTGCATTTAGGAAGAGTTGACTGTATGTACATGTATTTGGCTGAAAAATCTCAGTTGTATGGTTATTTAATATCCTAATCAACAGTTTAATTTCCTAAATGAATTACATGTATTTAGTTTTTCCTAAAGGAGTTACATGTACATGCTGATTATCACTATAAATAAAAATTCAAAATGATCCATTCATCATGAGAATTATAGCTATTAATTTCAATAACAGCGAAAGGTTTTGTCCGAACAATCTTTGGAAACTATCAGCCTCAATTCCAATATAAAAAGAGATCTCACACACCTTCACAACCATTTCACAAGCAAATATTGTTGCGAAGCAAAGATGAAGCTCCAATCAATTATTTTGTCTCTGACTGTCAGCTTGGCTTCTGTAATTCATGCTCAAGCTTGCGTAATCTGTAAGATCCACTACATTCGATTAATTTAATAATAAATCTCTTCAATACTAATGTTATTTTCATTTCTCTAGTTTTGCGCGATACTGCGTATACTAGTTAGATTGGTGCTGCAGGAGGTGGGTGTTTTAATTTGAGTGGCGATCCTTTAACAAAAGTGATTCTGGTACCGCGTACTGCTATGGCTGCCATGGAACGCCAATTGGTAGTGGTGCTGATACCACCGACTTCTCTTTGATCGGACCAAAATCAGTTCGTCTAGTATGTCCACCAAGGACATAAAAAATTTAATGCAACATCAACGGCGATAACGTTTTAATAGTCAAACTATACATGCACTTGTATTAGTATTAGCGTTAGTATTGCGAATAACAATCAACGTGCCACAAAGAAAATTTCCCAATAATAGATTTTCAATTTTTATAAGTAAATGATATATTCTTTCTTTATGAACTCTTAAAAGTTTATCTCTTTGCTTCAACCTATTAAAATTTTCAACATAAATTTGCTGACTTTTAAAAACAAAATGATCGGTGATGTTCAATATTCTGACAATTCATTTACCGACAAACGTAATCCCGAAAACCGACATCTCGAATTCATTTTGGGGGAATGCCAAAATTACGATCATTCTGGATTTCGTTTGCCGTGCAAATGAATTTTCAGGATGTCGTATTGAATACATTATCACAGGGCTGTTGCCGTCGCAACGAGAAATCCCGTGATTACGAAAATTCTGGAACGATGAAAAACTTAAAAATAATTCCTATTGTCCGTATCACCCGAACCAATCAAAATCCCACGAAAAATTCTTATCTTGTACAGTATCAAAACCGCCTTCCAGTAATAAGAATTTCTTACAAAAATTCTAACTTTGCGCCAAGCATGTGATTATCGTATCGTACGTTATTACTTTGAATTCATACAAAACTCATACCAAAATTCACATTTTGCATCATACATAGTTAATTCTACTTTATTTTATTATTATTCTTTGTCTCGAAGAATAGCCATCCCTTTTGCAAAAAATTCTTGCAAAAATTCATACTTGCACGTTAGAACCTATGAATTTGTAGTAACTTACTATCTATAATAATATAGTTATATAGTAACCATATTGTAAAAAAAGGATAGCTCTCGAAGGTCAGAGATTTAAGTTAATATGCAGTTTGAAGAAAATAAATAAGAATTACTATAACTCTTACCTAACAGCGCGTCAGCTTTTATCTCCTCTGTGTCTTACAAAATCGATAGGTTTATTTCTTTTGTGTTTAACAAAATCGAAGGTTTTACTGTTTTGGTCATATTGCTGCATATTCTTTGATTATTGATTTTTTTGTTCTTGAATCTTTGATTCGATTATTTGACTTTATTGTTTTGAGTTTTATTATAAATTTGTGTATTTAATTTGAATTGAAGTTATATTTTGTTAGTAATTAGTTATTACTTTGTTATTTGAAATTAGATATTATACTTTAGCTTTGACTTTTTGAAACTCTTATCTTTGATTGCATAATCCGTGTAGTTTAGCACAGAACCCCAGTGACACAATCGTGTAAACCATTCTTTCTAGCTCTCGCATTTACAAGTCTTTAGTCAACATAACTTCTGGATTTGGTGTGACAGTACAACCATTTAGATTAATGAAATTTATTAGTTACCAGTAGTAATCAGAAAAAAAAATAGAGAACTAGACATTTAATTTAATTTGTTTTTTTGTCATCCAATTATAAATAATAAGTGTAACAAAATTATGTTCATATATATACGCATTTTATAATTGAACTTAAAGAGAGAATCGAATATTATAGTAGATGTATGAGCTAATGATTATTATAAATAGTGTTTAGTTCCCAATACAGACGACAACGAACTGAATATTTACATATTCGGTACTATGATTCAATTGTATTATAGGCGCCGAGATTAAGAACTCAATAAGATGAAATCTTGTTCCTATAACATAAACAAAAATCAAAATTCAATATAATCTAACACCTGTCAAATCACTCCACGTGATTAAAATGATAAAGTAAGGGATATATGCACATTTTTTTCTGAATTTTTAGATATTGAAAGAGTTCTAATTGCAAAGTTATTACAAAAATATTTACTAATTAAATTTTATTTTAATTAGAAAAAATTTTTGCAATAACTTTGCAATTAGAATAACTCTTTCAAGATCTAAAAAATTATGTTAAACTATAACTTATAAACTATATATTGATATAAAAAT